CGTTCTTCTTTCGTGGAGGGAAATCTCCCCCTCTCCCCCCTTACATATTGCCGGGAACCTTAAGGGGCAAATTTTTAACCCTCGGGTTTGTTGAAAAATAAACCGCCCCTCAAAAATTTTTTTTTTTAAAATTTTTTTTAATAAGGGGTTTTAAAAAAGTTTTTAAAAAGGGGGGGTTTTTTTTTTCCCGGGGGGGGGGGGGGGGCTTAAAATCTTATAATCGCTTGTAATTTTTTTCCACGTAGATGGGCCTATAACCGGGAGAGCTTATGAGTGGTTAAGGGGTGGATGGGTTACGGTATATTTTGTTCACCTTCTTGAGCCTCTTCTTGTTTCGTTTTAGTTGATTATACACGTGCGTACACAAAGAACTCGTTTTTTAATACTTGCAATCAAAAACTCTTACGTCAGTTTCATAAATAATACTTTACTTAGAATTAGTCCAATTGTCTTTTTACAGTCTCAGAAAGATTGCAGCGCTATTGCGGAGTATTATGACTACAGGAAAATACGATGACACCAAGGGAATACATTTCATGCAAGAAGAAAGGAGATCTACAGAAAAGGGAAAGAGGAGATTTTTGTACCATTGTTGGTTTGGGTGTGGTCAAGCGAGTCTTTCAGCCACATAAGGCATTGCGTTATCTGCTTTATCCATACGTAACGCGAGTATTGGGTGACCAAGTAATTGACAGTGCATGAGAAGAAAATCTTTGGGCTCTGCCCTAACGTTTAAACTTCACAAGAATGCAGTAGCAAAGAAAATGAGACTCAGCAGGTATAACTATTGAAGGATGATGAAAAAAAAGCGAAAATCCACGTCCCGTTCAAGTGGTTGCTGTTTGGTTTCTATTTTCCGACGAAAGATGCAGTTCCGGAGAAATCCTCGTGTCTTACTTGAGCTAGAGCTTTTACCGCTATGAACTTTCAACTAAAAGTCCATTAAGTAGCGCTGAAGACTCCAAATCTGTAGAAACGTGATTCATATACACATCACTGTCATAGGTAGAAAAACCTGTGTCCATTCTTTTAGCACTGTCTGTTTCGCTCAAAGGACCATGAATCAAGCCATTAACCGCAGGCGTGGTGATCAAAGCATTGCCATTTTCAGTAATTGCTGAGTCAAACAAGGGCTCCGTCGTGACGTCATGGACACTCTTCGCAATCACTCCGTTTATTCCCGGTGCCTCGTTTTCATTTACATTCCCGTCAATTTCATCGCCCATATTTGGCGCTAGTCCACTAACCTTCGTTTTATCGACGCTGTTGAAATTTTCCGAAAAACTACGCTCTCCTTTAACCTTAACGCGAAGTTGTTCTTCGCTGGATATGATCTCTTTCTTCACATTTGCGCACAGATCAATAGGACTGAGTACTAGATTCTCTTTCTTTTCGTTCTCAAGTGGCCGAGCTTGACTGGGTTCCATATCAACCGCTTGTACATTTTCGCTGGCTTGGACAGAAGACGTGGCGGCTTTCTTCATGCCCTTCTTTTTCTTTCGACGTGGTGCGTCGGGTGAGAGACACTTTTTCAGCAAGGTTTTGTTTCCTTTTCGTTTCTTGATTCTTTTCTTTTTTACTTCAAAAATCTTTGGTTTCTGTACAGGGGTGTCGTCATCGTTCTTCTCAAGGAACACGTACTGTAGATCCAGAAATGGCTGCGAAAAAATTAAAAAAGACACCGGCAATAATATCAATAAGCAATTTTTCACCTACATTTGACATTTTAAGCGAGATGTAATTAACGCGACAAAGCTGGNAGGTAGAAAAACCTGTGTCCATTCTTTTAGCACTGTCTGTTTCGCTCAAAGGACCATGAATCAAGCCATTAACCGCAGGCGTGGTGATCAAAGCATTGCCATTTTCAGTAATTGCTGAGTCAAACAAGGGCTCCGTCGTGACGTCATGGACACTCTTCGCAATCACTCCGTTTATTCCCGGTGCCTCGTTTTCATTTACATTCCCGTCAATTTCATCGCCCATATTTGGCGCTAGTCCACTAACCTTCGTTTTATCGACGCTGTTGAAATTTTCCGAAAAACTACGCTCTCCTTTAACCTTAACGCGAAGTTGTTCTTCGCTGGATATGATCTCTTTCTTCACATTTGCGCACAGATCAATAGGACTGAGTACTAGATTCTCTTTCTTTTCGTTCTCAAGTGGCCGAGCTTGACTGGGTTCCATATCAACCGCTTGTACATTTTCGCTGGCTTGGACAGAAGACGTGGCGGCTTTCTTCATGCCCTTCTTTTTCTTTCGACGTGGTGCGTCGGGTGAGAGACACTTTTTCAGCAAGGTTTTGTTTCCTTTTCGTTTCTTGATTCTTTTCTTTTTTACTTCAAAAATCTTTGGTTTCTGTACAGGGCTGTCGTCATCGTTCTTCTCAAGGAACACGTACTGTAGATCCAGAAATGGCTGCGAAAAAATTAAAAAAGACACCGGCAATAATATCAATAAGCAATTTTTCACCTACATTTGACATTTTAAGCGAGATGTAATTAACGCGACAAAGCTGGAAAAAACGAGGGGCGACTTCATTTAAATAGCGAAATTTTTGCACTCGTCGCTGTTGTCGTTGCTAAAACTCCCTTTTCTTCTTTCCAACCACAGCTCGTGTGCTTTTCAGGAAGGCGGCTGTATATAATCTATACGTTCGCGTGTTTGTGTTCCGGATTTCTTGAATCCTGATTACTTTACTTGGGACGAGACTACTGATAATCTGACAGTGATAACGTTACACATGTTATTTACCTTGGAATAAAGACCATATATCCGACACACCTCCTTCATGGTCAGGTGACCATCCAGAATTTCATCGGAGCGAATTATTTCCGTCTGAATAGAAACAAGAGACAGAACAACTAATCAGATGTGACTCAGGGGACATAGTAATCCAACAAGTAGGAAAATGAATAATAAGGAAAAAGAAACAAAAAAGACACCGTTCTTCGCTTTAGCTACTTTCTGTGGCCAAAAGGTAACTCAAAGCCTCGAGTAAAACCACGATGTTCTCGCGCAGTTGTTGTCTATTTTCTTGTCATTTTCTTTAACAGGGGTAAAATTCCGCAAGGGCGAAGAACCAAGCAAATGTTGTATGATCATAAATCGGTTCATGCGCTAACTGATTTACGAAAAACAAGCTGATGTTGAAAAGAATACTTTTAACACTTGAAATACGAGATAGATAATCCCTTGAAAGTACTTAATGCACAACAGTGCATGGAGCAAAGTTCTTGCAAAAACGAGTAAATTTCCAGTGGCTTACGAGGTGGGTTTCTGGGATGGCAAACTTCATAACCAGAAACTTCTTTAGTACTTTGACTGTCACGGTAGAGGAGCAACGCAGATAACGAGTTGGAAAAATCTGAAAAATAAAGTTACAAAAAGACGTAAAATGCGCTTTTCTTTCGCTTGTTCGGTCTCGGGCATGTTGCTAAAATGAAACATATGATGAAACTCCTCCCGTTTCTAATGACTTCAATGAGCATGCGTCAGCTTAATTGTGGACCTGGGCCCAGTTGTTCAAATGCAGGTTAGCGCTAAACTGGGGTTAAATTTTAACCCAGGTTTCTTTTTCTTTTTATCAAAAGCACTCTCCCGAATAATTTTCTCTATTCTTTTTAGAGTATCCAATCATCAAATTGTAGGCAATAGAATTAAACTGAATTTGTTTTTTAAGCTCTCAAATCTGAGTTCAAATTTCGCACTAACCCTGGGTTATCTTAACCCAGCTTCGAACAACCCGGGTGATTAAATGTCAAATTATAGGGGAGAACCCTTTTTGCTTTCGCTTCATCCTGACGACATTTGAAAAGGTGAGAGCGCCAACTGTGAGAGAGAACCAAAGACGAGAAGTCCAAAGACTACTGCAAAGCTGATTCATAACAGAATCATAACAGAATCTGAGAGATAGAGGATATTACATGGCCGCGCGGATATACGAAATTTCTCTTTGAGTGTTATTTTTTCAACACGAGAAGAGAAATTTCGTATCTCCAAGCGGCCATGTAATGTTCTATTTATTATATAAACACCAATGAAATACCAAACCATTTCACTTTTATAGTTTTTTGGTGTGAAAGGCGCTTTTTATTATGTAACCATAGCAAAGGTGATATTTTCACATGTGAAGATATCAAGTTTTCGCGCGAAAGCTCGCCTGGTATTTCATTGGTGTTTATATAATAAAGATAATTCTGCTCCACAGCCGTTCTTAATATCGTCACACAACGCTCCTGTGGGAGCGAGGGTTGCGTGACGACACAAAGAACGGCTGTGTAGCAGACTATGAGAGAAACGCTTAGGGCAAAAAGGAATCTTTATAAATGGTCAGTGCGAGAAAAAACAAAAGTAAATTGAGATCATGAAAGTTTATGCAACAGAAATGAAAACCTCGCTCATAGCCTGCGTAGCAGGCGTAAACAATTCGGGCGAGAGAGAGGGAGGACAACACGCGTGCGCTCCACGCGCACCAGAAATCCCCATTTCCCTCCCCCACCCCTGCCATTTTAAGGCTTACCACGCAGGCTATCTCCCTCAGAGCACTGAAATTTCAGTTTTCATTGAAAACCAGTATACATTCTTACTTACCTCCTTTTCCATGCGGTTCCTTGTTTTCCTAATTGCGTAAAAGAAAGAGAAAAGCGTTGGAAGGGGAGCATAAACTTAACACTTATTTCTTAACAACCAAACGTGCAAGGCTCTGGAACGAAGATATCAAGACTCCTACCTGAAATATTCAAGAGTAATGCACACAGGATCCTCAAAGGGCAAGGACTCTTTCTCCTTCTCTGCATTCTGCGGCTCCTCTTTAGTTTCTACGGAGAAAATAAAAGTTGTGTTATCCGTCTTCCAACAACTTTCCATTTTTAATATTAAAAATAACACGGAAGAAAATAACGTGAATGCACACCTGGTTCTTCGCTCTTTTCTTTCAAACTCGTTTCGAATTCTTTGCGACGATTTAACTCTTCTGCGTGTAAAGACAAGATGAACAAATTAATGGAACTGCTACGCAGTCGTGGACGTAAATTGGCCTCCATTGTCTTTTATCTGGTCAAACGCCTCGTGAAATAAAACGTTCATGGAGAAACTGGTGAGTTTTCGTGGTGCTCATGTTTAATATATCTCTGTCATCCAATAATGACAAGTGACACTTTTGAAATAGGCAATTATTAAGAGAAACTATTTAAGGAGTTTTATCATACCTTGATAGATTCCGGGCACTATCTTGTACACGATATCCTGTAAAGTCCTGTCTGGTCTGTCAAGACAAAATAAAAAGAATTAAATTTTAAGTACAGGTTTTGACTTAAAAATTATGTAAAAGCAGATGAGAGGGGTTAGGCGTTTGGTGGGCCCACAAAACATTCTGTCGTAAGGTATTCCGGGTTGATGAAAGCTATTCAAGAAAATGAGAGAGATGTGTAAAGTTCTTCACCAGATCGCGACTTTCCACTGGGCTGGAGGGACTTGTGATGACTTGTAATATGGTGGATTAGGGATCAACTACGCCTTATAAGCCATGGGCTTATGCAACTGCTTAAGTGGTTTTAGATGGGCCTATAAATGGGGAGGTGTCTATCCGAGGGAGCTTATAACCTGAAAAAAAGGCGTTTCCAAACGAGCTACAGCATTGTTGACCGAAAGACGTTTTTCATTGGACCAATTTCGCTATATCAGAATTCATACTTGGTTCAGAGGCTTAGAGGGAATAAAACAAAGGTGGGTGGATGGCCCTCTAACCAGGGGGGGCTTATCCTCATTATGAGCTGGGGGACTTATAAGCAGTACGTTACTTAAACTCTTCGGAGGGCCGGCACTGGAATCACTCTCAAAGGATTGACTGTTAGCATTCTACCCAGCGAATTTTTTGGGCTTGTCTTCTTGAATGATATTTCACTACCCTCCACTCACACCTGAGACAGGAGGGGGTTGGTGAAATGTGTCCGGCAAAAATTGTACTCACCGAATGTGTAAAAGAGGTTTCGTTTTGTGGACTTCAACGTCACAAACAGGACAGTGAAACGAGGTTTGAAGATACTTCACGATACAACTGCGACAAACTGCAAATTAAGATATATTGATGTCAGTATTTTGGTTGTTATTGCTAGAACCCATCCACACTAATGATCCACTTCGTTCTAACCCTGCATTCGCACTCAATCAAAAACGGAGTCTTTCGTATAAGTAGCCGACGCCCGGAAATGTTGCGTTTGGCCGTCTCATTTCTCTTTTGGTTTGATCAAACGCCGGGGCCAGATTGCAACCTTACATTCCTTGCAACCCGACTCATATGGAGTTAAAGCAGAGTAAACACGTCATATATTGAAAACCATGACACGGTGACGAAAAGCCTTGCCTCCTTCGTCCGCTTCTTTATCAACCTTGGGCCTTAAGATGTGAAGACGTAAAACATCGCTTTAAAAGTGAATTCGCGTTCGTTGCAGTCTCATCACAATTATTCAAGCTCACTCACCTTATCAAGTGTAACTAACTCTGCTGGAGTTGAATTACTAAGAACCATGTCATCCAAGTTCACAAAGAGAAAGAAGATTTCGTTTTTGCTTTAATTCGTCCTTCATAAAACGTGAAATTAGGCACTTCACGTCGTAATCGTGAAAATTGTACCGCACGTGCAAAGTTGTTGTTGAAGCCAATCTCCGTCTTTTACAACACTCAGACGCTAAATGATTCCAGTCAATAAGTTAATTCTCACACTACGATCAGACTGGCGGAAGGTAGCATTTGTTTAGTTTATTAAGCGCCGCACCATACTTCGGAACGCCAAAAGGGATTTCAGATACTTACACGAGTGGAGACACTCGACGATCGTAGTAGCATCGACAAGATATCCACCACATAACACGCAGAGAAGATGAGGATTGAGATCTTGAAGGTGCATCATTCGCAAGGACATCTTGAGATTTTGTGTTGCTTTCTATATAAAGAAAAAAAGATAACTTCTGAGAACCACAAATAACATTTTATATTCCCCTCGAAAAGGTCAAGCTTCCTTTTAATTGGGCTCTAAAAACATCAGTTCACATTTCCGGCTCGAGAACATATAAAAAAACAAACTGACAAGGAAGATTGGGGTTTTTTATTCCTCTCAAGTTCTGCCCAGGAGAAAACGAACACGAACACGCCAGTCACTAGTCACTTAATAATTGCTGAAGAAAAGATAACATTTTAACATGAAGTTAATAACATTATTTCTACAAGTCTCAGGAATTCGCCGTGACCGGAAGTTTTCATAAAGATGCATTAGATCAGACAAATAACAAACAAATAAATATCTCAATAGCGACGGGAGAAAATAAGCAATAGGGAGTACGTGTATGAAAAATTGTTCAGGATAGAAGATGGATGATGACTTCCAAGCGGTAAATGAGTTCGCTAGGGCCGGCTTTTTGACGGAACCAACTCTATCAACTGATCATAGAGAACAATGGAAAGTTTAAAACCAGGGCTCTTTTCTTGATCGAACCAAAGTGTTCGGGCATCCAGAATGCTATTTTTTTGCGTGCAACGTTTTACATGACGTCCTAGAGACGCTTGAGTTTTAAAAGCTTAACTGCGAGTAAATTAAGAGCTAATTTGACGAAGTAAAATCTGCGTATTTTCAATGCCAAGAACTGCACCAGAATCAGAAAGTTTTTGATCATAAAATATTGTCTAATTATCCGCGGAAAATGAGTTTGAGACGGAGACTGTTCAAAAACCGTGTTGGCGAAACAAGTGCATCAAAAGTTTGCAACGCCCATGGAGCTGAAACCACGATCATTCCGAAAATCTTCACTTAGACAGCAGCATTTTTTCCTTAAAATCATAAGCAATAATTAACGTCTTTGTAACAAAAATTAACGCATTACAAACGTTAAAGGTTTATCGGATCGCAACGTCGTAAAGGGAAAGCTACCGTTCAACATTGCTTTCGTTACAATGACTGCTACGAAAGCCAGTTATAAAACTGAAATGACTGTGGGCCCATTATCTGTCGTCTGACCTTCGTAAAATAATAACAAAAAGCAGAAATGTTTCGCAGAGTTTTACCAGCTCTTTAATGCATCAAATAGAAGGCGATTCTTAACTCTCCCTTATAGTTAAAATGTGGATCGAGCGGGTCCAGACAAGGTGCATGAATACATTTGATTCTTATATTTGGGTTTTAAAAAAAATCGCGTTTAAAGAACTAAACAAGGCTTACGGTATACTTTCCTTTTTCTAATAAAAAGAACTGTCGACTATAACTCCACTATAAAACCTTGCCGGTTGAAAGGTAGTTGATATCGCGAAGTTTGATTATGCTTATACATCAATTCAAGCATCCAATTTTAAGAGCCAGAAAAAAAAGAGGCTAAGTTTAAACAAGGGACTAAAACGCAAGAGATACTAGTTAGATATGAGACAGATTTCGGTTATCAAATTAGTAGCTTTTCTATTCAAAAGAATCGCTTACAATGAAAGGCCTAAATCAGTACTTGGTTATGGCTGATTAGTCGTAAGAATCGAGCCAGCTAGGATGTACACTTTTCCAGGATAGTTAATTTAGGTGAGATTTTATCAAAAAAAAAAAAAAAAGAATTCAGGAACGGACAGCTGATCACTTCAAGAAACACACGAATATATTTCACGACGCCGAGAAAATTTTACACAATGTTATTTTTCATTTAACACCGAGACTGAATGGCAAAGTATTCTTCCTTCTGGGTCAATTAAGATTTAGATTGTCAATTTAGCATTTTAACGTCCTGGAATCGTTTGGACTTGGTCGTCAGTAAACTGAAATCAAACTGGAAAAATTTGGCGTTGAAATCGCATAACTTAACTGGCAAAAATCGCATATTAACGTGAGAAGAACAAGGTGATATAAGAAATAGTACGCGCTGTCATCTATAAATGCATGCATATCACCCTTTCGCGTGTAAAACTGTCTTTGTATGTAACGAACCAAGTTGCTGCCGATCGCATGCGATCAAAATAGCATTTGTAGTGCAACTTCAATCCATTTCTACTTTTTGGCTTTTACTGACGGTAGAGTTGAGAATAAAGGCTTGAAATATTAACATCGCGTCCTTTTTAATGGAAGGCCAGCAAAGTTCAGTTCGCGATAGTCACGCATTAGGTTGAGATTAGTCATTCTAGTGATCCACAGTGCGAAGTCTCCTCAATCCGAATTTTTTTCCTTCTTACTTAAGACCAAGTTTATCTCAAATCATCGGACTTTTGATGGACAGTTTTTCCGTAATGATTTTCTTATCGTTTTCAAGCGACGAAAGCTCACTAAGAAGTTCCAATCAATCCGATTTTTTGTCTGCTTTCTCCCGAATTCGCCATTCAACCCAGCGACATATTAACAAATATTTGACGTTGAAGCCGAACAGGTTTCAATGCCGTAGCATTCAAATTTTGCGTGCTGTAGTATGAAACAGACTGAATTATAACAGAGGAAAAGGCACCCAATCTGAGCTCTTTCTCTTGGGATGTAGTAGGCGGATGGCACAGCAACGTTTTAAAAATTGCCAAGCACTCAGAAATATCATGACATTTGAATAGCGTATGAGTGAAGGCATAGTAAATTTGCGAGAAATATCACAGCCCTTCAGAGCTCAACTCCACATTTGACTGATGACTTCTTCCCGTCTCTGATCAATCCGCAATTAAAATAAAAGACAGTTAATTTACGAATCCAGTAAGATTTGAAACACTTTGGGCAACCAATGCCGTCAACGGGTGCTTTATAGTCAGTCATTCGTGTATATATACGTTTGAGCAAAAATAGATAAGAAAAATAATGTATTTCTTTTTCTGTTGACCAAGTGGAAAGTGCTGTTTTTAGTACAAAGTTAGTTTATCCGCATTTATTTTTTATTGCTTGGTAGATTTCAAACCCATTTAAGTGTTCGTCGCGCTTTCGTCTGGTTTCTCTGAAAGGTAACTTGTTTCGCGGATCGAACCTATCTTTTACATTACAATGTACATACATGTGATGCCTCAGTGTTTCAAACCAATTCAACCCGACCCTTTCCCAGTATGGGTACGCTGGAAAATCAAAATATAGAGTTAAAAAATTTGAGCCGCAAATTCCGATATTACATGATTTATTGGATATCGAAAGTGTTAACATCAGCGTGTGCCAGGAACTTAGATAACATTTTCCCCACGCGAATTAGAGTGGGCCGAAAGCAGTGTCCTCGTGAACCCGTCTTGTTTCACAATACAACGGCAAACTTTAACTTTACACGGATATGCTTCAAATACAACCAAGGGAATAGCTGGAGTACTTTTTGTTAAATATAAAGAAAGGAAGTCTGTTTGTGTGAATCTAAGCAGATGAATATCATATCAACTACAGTTCATTGAGTCACAAGATTCAACGGGCATACTCTTGTACGCCGAACGGACTTGCGAAATCAACGACGAAGCAACACAACTTTGAAGACAGATTTCAACGCGAGGAGAGCTTAAGCCGATAACGATTCAACACAAACAGCAAAAGAATATATTTTTCTAACGTTTGTGTAAATTCTAGAAGAAACGAAGGACAAAAACATAAGATTTTTACCTTTTTTCTTCGTGGTTCTGGCTGGATTGTTGTTTTCAATCTTGCAAAGGACACAGAGCGTAGCGTTGTATTGATTACAGCGATCACGTGATCTGTCAGTCAACTCGAAAACAAAGGAAGCCGCGAGTGTGTATTTATGTTTTGAGTCATTTACATCTGGTAGACGACCCCCAAATACTCAACTCGCAGCAATAAAGGGAAATAAAACCCTAAAAAACAACTCCGTTTTTAAATCACTTGACACAGCACAAGAAAAAATCGCCGGCACCTTTTTTACGGTACCGGATTGAAAGCTATACTACAAAACCTCGTAACATCATGCGACTTAGAACCAATGCAATTCAACTAGGGACGCTCGGAGGAATCTAGTACGTTGTAGGATGTTAAAAAAGTTGCCTGTGGCCCTTTGATATTCCTAGTGATCATAAACTTGTCTTCCTGTCGAGACCGTGCACAGGAACCGTATCTTTTGTGGTTATGGCTGCGGTGATGTGAAATTTTTATACCCTTGACAAAGTTAACCACCCGTTCCGCATGATAACTGCGATTCATTTCAAAATCAGTACGTTGAAAAGAACTTGAAGAGCAAGTTTGTGGCTTGAAACAGCCAGCCTTACGAACAGATGTTAAATCTTTTTTTTTTTTTTTTCCAAATAAAAGCTAGAAGGAAATTAAAGTACATGATATTGCTTGCGTACAATCAGCTGTACAATCCCTTCACTCAGGACGCGAAACAATTTGGTTCTAACCATAAGTCTTTGGCCTAAAATACATAGAGATTGATAATTTAAATGAATCCTCTTTGGTAGTACTTTCGCAAACGGGTACATTTTCCCAAAGTAAATGTTTTTGTTTTGGTCATCATCAGTTTTGAGCGTTCTTGGCAGAAACTAAAAATGCTGAAACTCGGCCGATACTTATGAACATGATCCAACTTTTTAGTTTCAACACGTTCTTCATTGCCGTTTATTATTTGAATATAAATATTCCACTTGTAAATTTGTTCAACATTCTCAGAATAAATTATTTCCTTTATAAGTTAAGGAGCAGTGAGCAAAGCCAATATACTGCTTGCAATAATGTTGAGCCCCGTAAAAACTAAACCTGCCAAACCAGTCAGAACGGGGCAATGTATAAATGGTGAAATAAATCTACAATAAAAGTAACGGCCTCAATTAGGCTTCAGTTAGACCAATATCGGGCATTTTCACGAACACTAATACCTTCACTCCAAGGATCAGAATACTTACCTTAGACGAATCGGAACACACGCGTACGTGCTTCCGCTCAGTTAGACAGGTTTTAGTGAGCTACTATCAGATACCATGTGGTCTGTTCGACAATGAACGCCT